CAGTGAGGATGGACAGTGAGGATGAGGACAGTGAGGATGGGGACAGTGAGGATGGGGGCAGTGAGGATGGGGGCAGTGAGGATGGGGGCAGTGAGGATGGGACAGTGAGGATGGACAGTGAGGATGGGGACAGTGAGGATGGGACAGTGAGGATGGGGACCAGAGAGGATGGGGACAGTGAGGATGGGACAGTGAGGATGGGAGATGGGCGGGTGGGAGGGCTGGCCCCATGGCCACTTTTTCTGCCCCTGCCTGGGTGTGACTCAGTATCTCAGCCTGCTGGCGAGATGGAGTAATTCTTCCTCCAGAGTTGTGAAACTTCTGTCCAGCATCAGGGCCTCCATCTCTCTCTCCCAACACTCTGAACCACCCACAGTGCCAGGACAGAAGGAGGGGCACCCAGGGCAGCCCTGCGCTCTCCCTGACACTCTCGGCCATTCTCAAACTGAGGTTTGAGCTGTCAGCCCGGTCAGATCTCCAGCCCACAGCACTGGCAGAGGTGGGTAGGGGTCACGGGCGTGGTCATGGTATTGAAGTCTCAGGGCCCAGACCTAGAACATGACGGGAAACAGTCTGCAAGGAATCCAGCTGAGATCGGCTCACACTGGAATCTAACTCAGTAGAACCGGGGTCCTTGTAAGGGGCAGGTGAGACAGCCACAGATAACCTTGCTTCCACAGGCCACGAGACCGCACACTGATACGACATTGCTCGAAGAGGGTCGACCTGTGGCGCAGGAAGATGGTGCCCCAGCCTCCTGAGGGGAAATCCTGCCGACCCTCAAGCTGCCTGCCCGCCTGCGCTGTCCACTCCACGGCTCATCCGCTGACGCCCCGACCCCTGTGTCCACCGAGCTGAGGCCTTGCCAAGACCCAGCCATCCAAGCTCCGTTTCACCAAGACAAAGCCTGAACCCAAAACGTCAGGAGCAACAGGGGTCCTCGGGACCTACTAAGCATTCCCGATTCCTTCCCACCAACAACTGGGGTCAGGCTGGGTCTGGTCTGAGCTGACACCAGGTCCTGTGGAGACACCACGGGCCTGGTTCTGGTGTCGAGGGAGCTCAGAGAGCACAAAGGATGTGATATGCACACAGGGGCCTGGACACCCCTCTGACGGTGGCCCCGAGACTCCGCCGAGCTTCCACCAGCCCACTGGAGGGGCCTCTGGAGCCCCAGCTCGGAACTCAGCCCTCATCAAGGCAAGATCCCACCTGCCTCTTCTAGGATCCTACGCCAGAGTTCTGGAGTCTCCATGCCCCTCCCAGAAGCCCTGCCGGGCCAGGGAAGCCCCTCTCCAGCTGCTCTGGCTGTAACCCATCCCAGAGGAAGCAAAACACGCCCTGTGCTCCCCAGCCTGACCCTCGGGGCTCCCCAGCCTGACCCTCGGGGCTCCCCAGCCTGACCCTCGGGGCTCGGCCAGCCTGACCCTCGGGGCTCCCCAGCCTGACCCTCGGGGCTCCCCAGCCTGACCCTCGGGGCTCCCCAGCCTGACCCTCGGGGCTCGGCCAGCCTCCGCTCATGCCCTCAATGTGCGCCCCATCTCCTCTCTTGTGTCCCCATGGGTCTCCAGAGCCAGAATCAGGTCCCTGGCCCCTGGAGTACAGCCCGTTTCTTCACAGAGCCCGGGCCCGTGTGCCGAGTGGCGCACTAGGGACCTTTCCTGCCCAGCCCCACTCCAATTGGCCCACGTCCCTCCTGGCCCCCAGCATGGGTTCTCCCCACAGCCACAGCTATGCCACCCCTGCCTGTGATCTCGGCCAGACCCCTGAGCCCTCCTCCTTCCCTCCTCATCCAACAGGCACACCTGAGGCCCCTGTGCCAGCCACTAAGCCAGACGAGAGAGAGACAGAGAGAAACAGAGACAGAGACAGAGAGACACACAGAGAGAGACAGAGAGAAACAGAGACAGAGACAGAGAGACACAGAGAGAGGCAGAGAGAGAGAGAGGACTAGACGGAAGATCTGGTAGGCTCTGCCGCTATGGTTGGGTAGATATCAGAGGGCTCAGATAGACCCAGTGGTCCAGGGAGGCCAGCAGGGTGGAGTCCCCAGCCAGCGTCAGGAGCTCCGGGAGGCTTGAGCACAGCGCGGCACATGAAGGCCCAGGGCCTTCATCCACCTTCACCACCCACACGAAGCAGCCACAGCCAGGCTTGGACTCCCCCACGCCCCCAAGACCACAGAGAAACCACCAGAAGAAAGGGGAACTTCAAGAAGTGTCCCATTCCACCCAGTTTCGGTCCAGTTCTTAGTCTCAGGAGTGGGGGTGGGGTGACGACACACCCCAGAGACAAGGGTGGCGACTCCCAGGAGGCCAAGACAGCTGAGCGGGGCGGCCAGGGCAGGGCGGCCACAGCTGGGAAGCACCACCATGCAGTACGTGGCCAGAAGGAGGCAGGGCGGCGGGGGCGTCCCAGGGACTGGCCGGTGAGGACCCTTCCTCGTCTAGCATCTCACAATCTGCAGAACCCGGGGAGGCAGCAGAGAGGTGAGCCTCCAACGGGGCTGAGCCGCCGCAGCCCCTGCCAAACCCAGGGGTGGCATGGGGGAGGCCCGGCCACCAGAGCAGACTCTGAGCCCAGCCATGGGGCAGGAGGAAGTCTGAGGACAGATAGCCGGACCTGCGGCCGTGAGCACGGGAGGTCTGCCACGGAGGCAGCCCGGGACCAGTGGAAACTTGCAGAGATGGAAAGAGTTGGGAAGAGGAGGAGTGAGGCCCATGTACACAGAAGCCCCGCCGGGGGGACAGGGCCTGCGGCCCGGCTGGGGACCGCAGGCTGAAGACAGGGCATCTGGGGGCTGTGAGGGCAACGAAAGGGCAGGAAAGAAGCCAGCTCCAGGCTGAGCAAAGGCCGGATGAGAGGGGACTGGGCAGGAAGTCTGAGGCTCTGGGCAAGCAGAGTTGGGTGGGCCTGGACAGGTGGGCATGCTGGGGCCAGACAGCACCAGCTCAGAAAACAGAGGAAGAAGAGCACCAGGGGCTTAGGGGACTGCAGGCCAGGGCTGCAAACGGGGCCAGAATACCCCAAGCCCAGCAGTCTCCACTAAGCTGGGCTGATTTGGAGAGCTCAGCAGCTCAGGACTGAGCGGCCACAGCTGAACCAAGCAGACAGGAATGGGGGAAGCATGGGGGCAGCCAGGAGCTCAGGGTCAAGAGCAGGCGCCGTGGGAGCCTAAAGATGATGGTTAGGGGGTCAGGCGTTTAACAAGGGCTGCAGCAGCCACATGTAAGCAGCAGCCTTTGAGAGTACCCCCAAACAGCTCCAAGAAGCAGAGCAGGGCAGCTTCAGGTCAGCGGAGGCAGAAAGAATACCAGAGGTGTAGCAAAGCAGCATCAGGGGCTCAGAGAACCATATCTGAGCAGGACAGGTGAGGGGGGCTGTGAGAGACTGGGGCACCCAGGAGAGTCCCAAGAGCCCAGGGAGCAGGCACAGAGCAGATACAGGGGAGCTGGAGAATACTGGGGGGCTGGAGGGGCAGGGCAGCCCCAGGAGCTCAGGTAAGCAGGGCAGATACAGGGGAGCTGGAGAATATTGGGGGCTGCAGGGACAGGGCAGTACCAGGAGCTCAGGGGAGCAGGCACAGACCAGATACAGGGGAGCTGGAGAATACTGGGGGGCTGGAGGGGCAGGGCAGCCCCAGGAGCTCAGGGAGCAGGCACAGACCAGATACAGGGGAGCTGGAGAATACTGGGGGGCTGGAGGGGCAGGGCAGCCCAGGAGATCAGGGAGCAGGCACCGAGCAGCTACAGGGAAGCTGGAGAATACTGGGGGGCTGGAGGGGCAGGGCAGCCCCAGGAGCTCAGGGGAGCAGGCACAGACCAGATACAGGGGAGCTGGAGAATACTGGGGGGCTGGAGGGGCAGGGCAGCCCCAGGAGCTCAGGGGAGCAGGCACAGAGCAGATACAGGGGAGCTGGAGAATACTGGGGGGCTGGAGGGGCAGGGCAGCCCCAGGAGCTCAGGGAGCAGGCACCGAGCAGATACAGGGAAGCTGGAGAATGTTGGGGGGCTGGAAGGATAAGGCAACCCCAGGAGCTCAGGGGAGCAGGCACAGAGCAACTTTTGGGGATCTGGGGAATATTGGGGGGCTGGAGGGACAGGGCACCTTCAGGAGCTCAGGGGAGCAGTTACAGACCAGGTACAGGGGAGCTGGAGAACGTTGGGGGGCTGGAGGGATAAGGCAACCCCAGGAGCTCAGGGGAGCAGTTACAGACCAGGTACAGGGGAGCTGGAGAATACTGGGGGGCTGGAGGGACAGGGCAGTACCAGGAGCTCAGGGGAGCAGGCACAGAGCAGCTACAGGGCAGTTGGAGAATATTGGGGGGCTGGAGGGACAGGGCAGCCCCAGGAGCTCAGGGGAGTAAGCACAGAGCATACAGAGGGGAGCTTGCGAATGTTGGGGGGCTGGAGGGGCAGGGCAGCCCCAGGAGTTCAGGAGAGCAGGCACAGAGCAGATACAGGGCAGCTGGAAAATATTGGGGGGATGGAGGGACACAGTAGTGCAGGAGTTCAGGGGAGCAGTTACAGACCAGATACAGGGGAACAGCAGAGTGTTGAGGGGCTGAAGGGACAGGCCAGTACCAGGAGCTCAGGAGAGCAGGCACAGAGCAGCTACAGGAGAGTTAGAGAATGTTGGGGGCCTAGAGGGATACAGTAGCCCCAGGAGCTCAGGGGAGCAGTTACAGACCAGGTACAGGGGAGCTGGAGAGTATTGGGGGGCTGGAGGGACAGGGCAGCCCCAGGAGCTCAGGGGAGCAGGCACAGAGTAGCTACAGGGAAGCTGGAGAATGTTGGGGGGCTGGAGGGACAGGGCAGAACCAGGAGCTCAGGGGAGCAGTTACAGACCAGGTACAGGGGAGCTGGAGAGTATTGGGGGGCTGGCGGGATACAGTAGCCCCAGGAGCTCAGGGGAGCAGTTACAGACCAGGTACAGGGGAGCTGGAGAGTATTGGGGGGCTGGAGGGAAAGGGCAGCCCCAGGAGCTCATGGGAGCGGGCACAGAGCAGCTACAGGGCAGTTGGAGAATGTTGGGGGGCTGGAGGGACAGGGCAGCCCCAGGAGCTCAAGGGAGCAAGCACAGAGCAGACAGAGGGGAGCTGAAGAATGTTGGGGGGCTGGAGGGGCACAGTAGCGCAGGAGCTCAGGGGAGCAGTTATAGACCAGGAACAGGGGAGCTGGAGAATGTTGGGGGGTTGGAGGGACAGGGCAACCCCAAGAGCTCAAAAGAGCAGGCACAGAGCAGATACAGAGGAGCTAGAGAATGTTGGGGGGGTGGAGGGATACAGTATCCCAGGAGCTCAGGGGATCAGTTACAGACCAGGTACAGGGGAGCTAGAGAGGATTGGGGGGCTGGCGGGATACAGTAGCCCCAGGAGCTCAGGGGAGCAGTTACAGAGCAGACAGAGGGGACCTTGAGAATATTGGGGGGCTGGAGGGATAGGTCAGCCCAGGAGGGCAGGGGAGCAGGCACAGAGCAACTTTAGGGAGCTGGGAAATATTGGGGGGCTAGAAGGACAGGGCACCTTCAGGAGCTCAGGGACCAGTTACAGACCAGATACAGGGGAGCTGGAGAATATTGGAGGGCTGGAGGGACAGGGCAGCTTCAGGAGCTCAGGGGAACAGGCACAGAGCAACTATAGGGGAGCTGGAGAAAGTTGGGGGGCTAGAGGGACACGGCAGCCCCAGGAGCACAGGGGAGCAGTTACAGACCAGATACAGGGGAGATGGAGAATGTTGGGGGGCCAGAGGGACAGGGAATCTTCAGGAGCTCAGGGGAGCAGGCACAGACCAGCTTTCGGGCACCTGGAGAATGTTGGGGGGCTGGAGGGACAGGGAATCTTCAGGAGCTCAGGGGAGCAGTTACAGACCAGGTATAGGAGACCTGGAAAATATTGGGGGGCTGGAGGGACAGGGCAGACCCAGGAGCTCAGGGGAGCAAGTACAGACCAGATACAGGAGAGCTGGAAAATATTGGGGGGCTGGAGGGACAGGGCAGCCCAGGAGCTCAGGGGAGCAGGCACAGAGCAACTTTAGGGAACTGGGAAATATTGGGGGGCTAGAGGACGGACACCTTCAGGAGCTCAGGGAGCAGTTACAGACCAGGTACAGGGGAGCTGGAGAATAGTAAGGGGCCAGAGGGACAGGGAATCTTCAGGAGCTTGGGGCAGCAGGCACAGAGCAGCAGCAGGGCAGCTGGAGAATGTTGGGGGGGCCAGAGGGACAGGGAATCTTCAGGAGCTCAGGGGAGCAGGCACAGAGCAGCTTTGGGGCAGCTGGAGAATGTTGGGGAGCTGGAGGGACAGGGAATCTTCAGGAGCTCGGGG